GCGTGCTCCATCGACCAGTGTCCTGTCCCGTTCCTGAACTTCACACCTGCACACGTCACACCAGCATACTTCACACCTGCGTGCTCCACCGGCCACAGTAAGTGTCCTGACCTGTCCCTGCTCTTCACACCTGCACACTTCACACCTGTGCACTCCGCCAGTCACAGTAAGTGTCCTGTCCCGTCCCTGCACTTCACACCTGCACACTTCACACCCGCACGTTCCACCGGCCACAGTGTCCTGTCCCCTCCCTGCACTTCACACCTGCACACTTCATACCTGCACACTTCACACCTGTGCACTCCGCCGGCCACAGTAAGTGTCCTGTCCCGTCCCTGCACTTCACACCTGCACACTTCACACCCGCACGTTCCTCCGGCCACAGTAAGTGTCCTGTCCCGTCCCTGCACTTCACACCCGCACACTCCGCCAGCCACAGCGAGTGCCCTGTCCTTGTGGAGATGTACGTTTCTGGCCTCGCTGTGTGCCTCTTCCCTGGCCGCACCCTCTCCCCACATCTGGCAGGCTCCACAGTACATCTGCACTGGAAACGCGCATTTATAACTCCCAGAGGTTCCAGATGTGGCAGTGAACCATTGGGAGGGACCTACATTTCGGGCACTTCTCTTTTCCAACAAACTGGTGTTTAACTTTCCCTTGATCATGTTGATACTTATTGATCACGTGCCCCGTATCAGAGATGTGTATTGCTGAGTCCTACTACCCGGGCCAAACAGTTGCTGAATTTCGGAAGTAGCGTCTTCTGCCCACTGAGATGACTTATATGCGTCAACATGGGGAGTGAGAGAAAGAAGGATGTCTTCCATTCTTGTAGATCATATGGAGCAAAATGTGAATTTTGGGTTTTTTTTTTCTTTCTTTGTTGCGTGTTGCCAAAATCAGGCAAACATTTGGGTGGTTGAGACTGGTCAGTATCAGTTGACTCATGTTTCAGTTTTACCTTTGACTTTTGATTTGTATCTACTGAATATGCAATATTTTGCTGTCAGAGTGGAAATTTACGAAGAAAACTCATGTCTCCTAAACCTGAGGACTGGTGACACACCCATCGTTATTGGTATTCCACAGTGGTCATGTTGCTTCTTGAAATGCTTTTTTTTTTTTTTTTTTATTTCTAGGAGAGAGAAAGAGACAGCATGAGCAGGGGAGGGTCAGAGAGAGAGGGAGATACAGACTCTGAAACAGGCTCCAGGCTATGAGCTGTCAGTCAACCCAGAGCCCGACGCGGGGCTCGAACCCACGAACCGTGAGATCATGACCTAAGTGAAAGTCGGACGCTTAACCGACTAAGCCACCCAGGCGCGCCTTGAAATGCTACTTAATATTCCGTTTAGTAAACTTTTCCCATATTGGTTTTTCTTGTTTCCCATTTTTTCTAAACTAGTATGTTTGCCACAAATGGAGCCAAACAAGAGGACAGTCTCTTACATGGCAGTCCTATCTGAGCCAAAAAATAAGTTCCTTTCTTGTTTCTGGCTTTGTTTACAAGAGGGGGTTGGTTAGAACCACTCAGAGAAGCGCCTGGCAAGGTTTCTGGGAACTGGATAGATTAAAGGACCGTGTGATGTTGATTCCCTGGAAGTAGAGCCCCATGGTATCTGCCTTTCATCATGGGCCTGCTGCAGAAGGGTAGAACGTGCTAGAAACCTGTCTGAATATAGGAAAGGCAAGCCTCACTCTTCAGACTTAGATGCAGTCATTGCTTATAATTATTTTCTACCACCTGGGAAAAATAGGGTCAGAATGAGCAGGTCTGCTTGAAGTGATGCTTTCAAAAAGGTTCGAGAAACAGCTTCCTACCTGCTTGAGAAACCGTCCCTTTGGAGATTAAATATATTTGAAACAGTGAACTATTTCTAAGCATCTCTCTGGGTATGATACAACTTTTGCCTAAAAATTCTCTTGGAAACTTTTCTATATGTGTATAGACTTTTTAAATCCTGTCATCCATCCTTTCCTCCACTTGAAATGTAGGGCCACGAATCGTGACATTACTGTGCCTAATGATGGGGGTAATTGCTATGTAATGCTGTAGTATACTATAAACATAGGTCCAGTATATCGAGTATATACTTATAGACCAAGTATACACGATATAGTACATAGGCACCATGTATTTGTATACGTGTGTGTGTCTGTGCATGCATGTACACACATACACATTATTGCACCACTACCTGCATTTTGAACTCTGCCCAACATTGAGTTTGGAAGGTAAACATGTAAACATGATGGCACATGCAGTAGTAATGGAAGCAGAAGAAACTAAAATTTCGGTAGGAATAAGAGCCCTCAAGAGTCGTGAGTGCCCCACGGGCCCACAAGGCATGGGCATCTGCCCACACACAGGTGTGTGTGTGTGTGTGTGTGTGTGTGTGTGTGTGTGTGTGTGTGTGCGCGCGCGCGCACGTGCGCCTCGAGACTGGAGAGAACACTGTGTGTGCACAGAACTCAGCGCTGGGGAGAAGGCAGGGAGGGGCGTGGGGATGCAGCACGGTTCCTGGGAGAGCTCAGGGAATGCGTGGACTCAAGGACCATCTGTGTGTCTGACCCCCCACCCCCACCCCGTGTCCAGCTGCCAGTTCAGCACCTGCACAGGGATGGCTAGCAGGTGCTCAGCCATCACGCCTGTTCCTCTCCCAGGCTCTCCTACGGCAGACTGTCCATCCTTCGCCCATCTGTTCATGCCAGAGATCGAGAGGCCGGTCTTCATGCTTCTACTTTCTTTCTCTCCAGAAATGCAGTTCTTTAGAAAGTCCTTTTTGTCTGTAACATCAAGTGCTCTGTGGGATCTATCAAATTCTCTGCCATGGTCGGGCCATTCCCATCTCTTTTTTACAATTAAACAAGTCTCCTAATTAGTATGTGTTTCCACTCTTTGTTAACTATCCATTCTGTAGATGGCAGCCCACACGAGCTTTAGAAAATGGCAGCCGAGTAAGAGTTTTCTCCTCCTTCTGAGTTCTGCCTTCAACAGTGTCCAGTGTCACCTATTCATCTTCTCCCAAAAGTTCATCCTTCCCTCCTGGCCCCTCCTCATATCTAAGTCCTGTAGACACATGCTTCCCTGAAGACCTTTTCCTCCTACTGCTGGGAGGAATTTCATCTGTTGTGTAAAGGAAGTTTGCCTCTTTGTGCCCTGGTTTTTCTGGTAAACAACATTCCTTCCCCGTTAGAAGCTGCTGTGGGATTGCAGACGCCCATGATGTGTGTTTCTTCCCACAACCCAGAACAAGAAGAATTGGACCTCAGCTTGCTATCATGGGGGTACAGGGAGTGCCCGGTCAGGGGCCTGTGGACACAGAGCTCGGGCTGGGCTCTGGGTTTCCGCAGCACATCTAGGTCTTTCTCAGTCTTCCTGGAGCCCCCCTACAAGCCCGTCGGCTTGGCGAGATCCTCTTTAACTAGCTTCTTCTCCCACCCTCTCAAGGGTGATTATAAACCTGTCTGTCTCTCCTGCTTTAAGCCATAATGCACCGTATAATGCACATTCCTCGTTCTCGGAAAGGCACACAGTTCCCCGTCAGTATGAACACATCATGTTTATCTTCCTCCGTCCTCTGTAACGTGAGGTGGAAACATCTTTCCTTTTGTATACTGCAGATTCCACCATGTGGGGTCGAGACCCACCACTTCCCAAATTGGAGAAAGACATCCACCAAACCAAAATCTTACCTACATCATGCAATACGGGTATCTGTCCGTTGCTGTGTCTGCATGTATATGTGTGGTATGTAAGCACAGCTCCGTAAATACCTGTGAAATGCAATCAGT